CCTTCCAACCCAACCCATTCCATGAGCTCATCACCCTTCCCTCCACCCACCTGAATCCCCCAAACCCCATGTGCACGTGGAGCCGTTGGGCTGCACTGGTGGCACTGTACTGGTGGCACTGGTGGGACTGGCCACTAGATGGCACGGAGCAGCGAGCGGGGAGCCTGTTGTTTACTCCGGGGAGGCGGAACGAGGAAGCAAAAGAGCTTGGCTCCATCCCTTCCTGCATCCCGAGCCAAAGCAGGGTGGGGTTTGCTGGGTGTCTCTTGGAAGGAGACTGAGTTCTGCTCCTCAGCTTGGCTTGGACTTGCCTGCACAGGCAGACGTGCCCCAAATAACTCCAGGGGTGGAGGGAACCGACTGTTTCAGCCCAGGAGAGGAGGAATGGGGCGTTCTCCTTTTCCCCCCTCCTCTCCTGGGACAGGGCAGACGCCTCTTGCACATGCTGCCACTTGAGGATGGTTGGGCTGGAGCCATCCCAGCTGCAGCCAAGCCCTGCTGGAGTGGGATGAATCCCTGTCCCTCCTCCCACTTACATCATGGGCTGAGACTTGTTGTTGAGCTTCAGTGCTGCCTCCTTGTTCCCACAGAAGCAGAAACGCTGGTGGGTTGTGTCCCAGGGAACTCTCTTGTGTCCCAGGGAACTCTCTTGTGTCCCAGGGAACTCTCTTGTGTCCCAGGGAACTCTCTTGTGTCCCAGGGAACTCTCTTGTGTCCCAGGGAACTCTCTTGTGTCCCAGAGAACTCTTATTGTGTCCCAGGGAAACCTGTTGTGTCCCAGAGAACTCTCTTGTGTCCCAGAGAACTCTTATTGTGTCCCAGGGAAACCTGTTGTGTCCCAGAGAACTCTCTTGTGTCCCAGAGAACTCTTATTGTGTCCCAGGGAAACCTGTTGTGTCCCAGAGAACTCTCTTGTGTCCCAGAGAACTCTTATTGTGTCCCAGGGAAACCTGTTGTGTCCCAGAGAACTCTCTTGTGTCCCAGAGAACTCTTATTGTGTCCCAGGGATGTCTGTTGTGTCCCAGGTTACTCTATTGTGTCCCAGAGAACTCTTATTGTGTCCCAGGGAAACCTGTTGTGTCCCAGAGAACTCTCTTGTGTCCCAGAGAACTCTTATTGTGTCCCAGGGATGTCTGTTGTGTCCCAGGTTACTCTATTGTGTCCCAGAGAACTCTTATTGTGTCCCAGGGAACTCTACTGTGTCCTAGGGAACTCTGCTGTGTCCTAGGGAACTCTCTTGAGTCCCAGGGACGTCTGTTGTGTCCCAGATAACTCTTATTGTGTCCCAGGGAAACCTGTTGTGTCCCAGAGAACTCTCTTGTGTCCCAGAGAACTCTTATTGTGTCCCAGGGATGTCTGTTGTGTCCCAGGTTACTCTATTGTGTCCCAGAGAACTCTTATTGTGTCCCAGGGAAACCTGTTGTGTCCCAGAGAACTCTCTTGTGGCCCAGGGAATTCTGTTCTATCCCAGGGAACTCTCTTGTGTCCTAGGGAAGTCTATTGTGTCCCAGAGAACTCTCCTGTGGCCCAGGGAATTCTGTTCCGTCCCAGGGAACTCTCTTGTGTCCTAGGGAAGTCTATTGTGTCCCAGAGAACTCTCCTGTGGCCCAGGGAAGCCTGTTCTGTCCCAGGGAACTCTCTTGTGTCCCAGGGAATCCTGTTGTGTCCTAGAAAATCCTGCAAGTGGTTTGAACAGCTAAAAGCAACACACGGAGTTGCTGCTCCCTAACCAGGCACACGGAGACTCTGTGTTTTATAGCTGTGTAATGTGTGAGCTCCTCCTTTCCCTCAGCTGCTCTGGTGGCTCACACCCCACAGCCAACTGGCTCCAGACCTGCCTCTCTGCTCCCTCCACACCCCAGAGGAGTAAAGCATTGGGGTGACTCCCAGCTGGAGAAGAAACTCAGCCACAGTTGCCTTTTTCTTACCAGAATTGGTTGTTCATCCTCATTTTAACTCCTGTCTCTAGTCTCACTTTCAATTCTCTCTTTGCACCAGTAAAGGATTGGGGTGACTCCCAGCTGGAGAACAAACTCAGCCACAGTTGCCTTTTTCTTACCAGAATTGGTTGTTCATCCTCATTTTAACTCCTGTCTCTAGTCTCACTTTCAATTCTCTCTTTGCTGGTTTCCTCACCCTCTTCTTCCTTTGTTTTCTGTGTGTTTGAGGTGGTTCTAGAACAAACAGAAACCACAGTTGTTCATGGCCCATACTTGCAGGGCTGTGTGTTTGGAGGGAGGAAAACCCACCCTTTTTTCCACAGCAAAGATGAATGGAACTCTCACACCCTCCAGAAGTGATGGAAACCCTCAAACCCCCTCAAAAGTGCTATGAAACCACCAATTTTTGTATGTGGCTTCACTCCTTGCTCCCCCAACAGGATGGAGACAAGTTCTGGAGGATGCCTGAGTGCTATATCCGTGGCAGCACCATCAAATACCTGAGGATCCCTGATGAAATCATTGACATGGTGAAGGAGGAGGTGGTGTCCAAGGGCAGAGGTCGTGGTGGGATGCAACAGCAGAAGCAACAGAAGGGCCGTGGGGTTGGAGGAGCTGGACGAGGTAATGACCCTGTTTGTTTTCCAGCTTGGAAAAGGATGAGCAGGATTCCTGCTTTGAAAATCTTCCCTTTTGTGCAAGGAACAGCTCCTGCTGCTCAGCTTTAAAGCCAGGGCTGTGTCTGGGAGAAGCTGGAGCTGCTCCTGTGCAGGATCCAGTTGGGCAAGTGTGTAAAGCAGTAACCTCTGCCAAGGAAACAGGGAGGATTCGAGCCAGGGATGGGCCTCCCTCATTTTTTTTGGGGTTGGGCAGGAGCTTAAAAGAGTCTGAACTTGACTGTTTCTACCCCTCCTGGCTGGTTTGGGAGCACTAAAGTGGTGCCTGGCAGCTTGGCAAGTCTGGGGGGAGAGACACAAATAGCTGTTCTATGTGACAAGAGGCAAATGGACTGAGCTCTGCTCGTGGCAGTGCTAGGAAATCATCATTTTCTCTCCCTTTTTTTGCATCTCCTGGCTGTAGGTTGATTTGTTTTCAAAAAAAAAAAAAATCAACCCAGCTGTCTGAGGGTTTGTGCTCCTCCTGCTCTACATGAATAATTCATGTTCCTGACACAAGGGGAGGGAAGAACTAGGTCACCCAAACAACTCTTCCTATTTCCTGGGGTTAGGTGCTCCCAGGGAGCTTCAGCTGGGGGATATGTTGGTGTTTCCTCTTCAAATTATCCTGCTGGAAGCCTGGCAGCTGCTTCTCTCCTTTCCTGCTCCCCTCTCCTGCCACATCCCTGGGATTTGTGGTCACTTTGCAGCCTTGAGCTGTGCTGGGGCTGAGCTTTGCCTGCAGTCCAAGTGTGCAGCAAAAAAAAAGAGCTTTGGCCCAGGAAATGGGAAATTTTAAAGGCAGCCTTGGGGACTGGGATGGGTGAAGCCTGTGCTGAGCACCCTGGAGGAGCTGCCTGTGTTTTGGCTATGCAAGGAATCCTGGCAGGGCAGGTGGGATGGACCTGGGGCCACGGGATGCGACGTGCAGCGTCTCACAATTCCCAGGGATTCCTTTTCCCTCCCTCCTGGAAGCTCCCAGGAAACAAAAAATGACCTTTCTAAATCTGCAACTGCCTTAATTTCTTTCCTCTCCTTCCTTTTTCAGTGTCCCAACTTGGCATAAGAGGTTTTGGTTTTAATTTTTTTTCTGGACATGGTTATTTAGATCAGCATTTGAACTGTGCTGTTTTCTCTGCCGTGGCAAAAACACCTTGTGGGGAGCAGAGCTGAGCTCTGAGGTGGAGCTCCTGCTGTTTCCATGTGCAGCTTAAATCTGCTGATGGAATATTTTCAAGGGAAGCTTCGGCATTTGCTAATTAGCTCAAAGGTTTGGCTCTCATTACTGTGAGACATGAAGAAGGGAGGAGGGAAAGGAGAGAGGAGGGAAGAAAAAAAAAAAAAGGCAGGACAATTTTGTTGGGAGGCCAAAGGGGCAGGAGTGAAGCTGTAATTGTGCTCACAGTTGAAAGGATTATTGTTTCTGACACTGCTAATCCTTCATCTTTGACTTCTTGCTTGCCAAATTCAGAATTCCATGGTCTTTGCTCTGGGAGCAGCTGGAGCATCATCCCAAGCACTGCAGGGTTAGGAGCAATTTGGGGTTTGCCTCTGGTTTAGACATGTTTCCTTGATGAAGCAACTGCTGAAGGCTCTAAAAAGAAGCTCTTCTGCCTCGTGCTTGGGTTGGGTCTCCTTTGGGTCCTGCCTTTTGTGTGGAGCAGGGTGGATACATAGCCCTTTATCCTTAGGATTGCTCTTTTGGGGAGCTAAATCTGAGTGGGGAAGACTCAAGAAAATCCCACCACAAAACCAGTCACAGCTTTTGGGTTTGAAGATGCTCATCCTACTGCAATTCCTCTCCAGGCTGATGGATTGCCCTGTCCAACCTTTAGTTTGCCCTCACAGCTTGCAGGGGACATGGAATAACCTGAATTTTACACGTGGCATTGATCCCTTGGTTCCATTTTCAGCACAAACTTCAATTTACCCTAAGATGAACCTTAATCATGACATTAACACACCAGGAAAGGTATTGCTGAACTTGCTGCTGAGGAGGGATGAGTTTAGGCACTTCCTAAATATGATCTAGGACTGGAAAAGGTATCCTAAAGTCCTGTTTTTGCTTTGAAGAGCCAAAAAAAATAAGTGATTGCTTGGGTGAAAGGTCTAGGTTGATGCTGTTAGCTCCATCCTCTTCCTTTCTGCCCCACAGGTGTGTTTGGTGGCCGTGGCAGAGGCATCCCAGGCAGTGGAAGAGGCCAACAGGAAAAGAAACCAGGGAGACAATCAGCCAAGCAGTGAGCTGTGTGCTCCTGGGATGGGGACAAAGTTGGGTTTTGTCACCTCAGGATTGCCACGTGCTCCAAAATGTTCCCTTCCCACTCTCCCATCAATGGATCCAACCTCAAATCATGGTTTGTTTGGAAGCCCCTCAGTGATTGAAGCTGGAAAAGTGGAGGTTTTTTTGCTCCTTGTAGAGAGTAAATCGTTGGAAACAGGTCAAAAAATTATCAGGCATGGCTAAGGACTGAAGTTTTGCCTTCTCCTGAGAGTGATTATTTTTTTTCAGGCTCACCAGGTTTAATTTCAAGTCTTCTCCTGTTCAGAGGTACCAGAACAAACACTTTTTGGATTGTTTGGAGGGTTTTGTTGGGTTTTTTTTATACTTGAATCTTGTGTTTGTAACAGGTGTGAATGTTTTTTGGCTTAAAAACACTGAACTTGAGGATGTTGTATCTGTACATGAAGAGTCTTAAAGGTTTGGGGTCTTCTAAAATCAACAAACCTTTAAGCTTTTGCTTTTCTTTTCTTGGCCAGTCAGTTCTGTCTCTCCTGTGGCTTAAAGGAGAACTGGGGATGGAATCAGCCTTCAAGGGTTGTTCCCTTGGCTTAAATTTGGGATGAAATCAACTTTCAGTGGTTGTTCCCCAAAGAGCTTTGTGATCAATGAGTGTTTCCCCATGAGCTCATTTGACTTCACATGAGTTTCCCTCAAAGGAAGAGATTCTCTGTGGTTTTTTTTTTGCAGGAGGCTGATGCATCCCTTGCTCCTCAGGGAGGATATTTTTTTGTGATTCCCTGAAGAGCAACTGTGTTGATTTAAGTTGCTTTGGCTCTTCCTCTCGTGCTGTGACACCTGAACTCTGACAAGATTTCTCAACCTAATTTCTTCCTGTCCCTGGTGATTGAGCTCACTTGGAGGTACTTGGCACTTCCTTTCCTAGGCACCAATTATCTTCCCTTGGGGACACGGAGCTGAGTGTGAATTGGTCCTTCCTGTAGGCTCAAAAAGCTCCTGGGAATTCCCAGCTTGGCTTGCTCTAGTCTTCCATCCCATGAGCAAAATGCATCCAAAAAACAGCCAAACTGTGTGTCTGTACCAGGTCACAGGGGGAAGAAACAGCTCTGGTTGCCTCAACCCCTTGAATGGTTGAAATAACTTCATTTCAGGGGAGGAAAGAACACTGATATTGTGACTGGTTTTGAACAGGTTTTGGTTTCTTTTTTGTACAACTGATTGCCCTGTGGGAACCTACTCTCTGCCATCACCACTGACTTGCAAAGGAGTAAAGAACATGCTTTTATAGAGACTTATTTTTTTAATGTTTCTAGATCTGGGGCTCAGTGGTGAGTAGGAATAAATCTCCAGCCTCTACTAACTGCCTCCCTCTCTGTGTCTGTGACTGGGCCTGACCTCAAACCCTTCCCTGAGCCCTGGGATCAGGGAAAAAAACCTAAACCTTTGATTTCCAACAGCAACCACATGTTCTCCACAGCCACTTCCTTGTCAGGGTGGTAACTATCACTCCATGTCCATCCCAGGAGATCCAACTGCTCCCAAGGAGCCAAGTCCAGGTGATGGGAACAGGGTGATGTGTCTTCCCTCCCTCCTGGAAACTCAGGCTAGATGGTAACAAAGCCCAGGCTGAGTCCTGTGTCAGAATTTCCCTTCCCAACCTGCTCTCCCTCCCTTTTGATCCCTCCAGCTGCCAAAACTCCTTGTGCTCCAGCTTCCCTAGAGAAAAGGAAACAGCTCCAGCACTGCTGGGCTTGAAGATCTGTTCTGGCAGCAATAAATCTTCACCACAACAATGGGACCTTTGGCTTCAGCTCAGGGTTGAGTCCTCCAAGTACATCTTATCTCCTAGCCAAGCTCTGGGGTCAGGTGGTGGAGCTTATTAAGGTCTGCAGTTGTTTAATTACACCATGGGCTGTAGCAGCATTCCCTGTTTGCCTCCCCCTTCCTTTTTTTTTTTTTTTTCCATCTCTGGAGGAATATTATTGCCCTGAGCAGTGCCACAGCCCCTGTGAGGATAAATGGGTGGATGTTTCCATGGAAAAGTGTTGGTGTGATGCTCGTGTGTTTTGGGGCTTTTCTGCCCCAAAAATGAGTGTCTGGGGCTGTTTTATGCCCTAATCCTACCCTGCCTCCCCCTTCCTTTTCCCACCTTTGTAGGAATATTATATCCCACAGCCTCTGTGAGGATAAATGGGTGGAACATGTCCCTGTGGATGAGCATTGATGTCACGTTGATGTCACATTGATGTGGTTTTTGGACCTTTCCAACCCCAAAATACGAGTGTCTGGGACTGTCTCGTGGCAGAGCAGGAAGGCTGAAAACTGAAGAGAAAAAAAAAAATACCCTAAAGCCAAACAAGGAGGAGCAAGATAAAAGCCACAAGCAGAGAAGAGGAGGAAGAAAGGTCTGAGCTTGGCTGGTGGCGTGGGTGGATGCACAGCCTGGCACGGCCGGAAAGACGAGCTGGGTTGGGGGGGAGACCCAACAAAGGCCACCCTGGATATCTTCCTGGGATATTTTGGTGGCACTGGAGCTGGTGGCAGCCACGGGGCTGTGTCTGTGGCCTCCCAACAGTGACTCATAAGTTCTGGGCCTCGCTGGGGAGGCAGCACAGGAATAGTTACAGAGCAGCGACGCGGAGGGAGTGGCTGCTGAAATACTTCAGGGCTGTGCTAAGCAACTAAAAATACACGTCAAACCCTCCTCCTCCTCCTCCTCCTCCTTTTTCCTTTTTCAATCTGTTTTCTTTCGCTCGCTGGGGTTTTTTTTCCCCTTTAATTCTGATTGTTGGAGGCCCTCGGGGGTTCCTCGGGGACGGCACAGCTTTGGGGGCAGGCACTGGCAGCTTGGGGACTTCTTGTTTTCCCAGCTTGGTTCCTCTCTCCCTGCCTGTGGCAGTGACTAAGAAGCAGCTTCTCCTGTGTGCCCTGTACCTGCTGTGCAAATCCTGGGGTGCAAACCTTCTCCTGCTTATTCCCTTTCCAGGGGATGTGGATTCATCCATGGTAGCTTGTGGGCATTTTGCTTTGTCGTAGGCATCTTGCTTTGGGTCCAACTCATGTCCTTGCTTGGAACTGTGTGTGTCCAGCACTTTGTCTCAGCTCCTGGCTGGAATGGGAGCTGTGTCCTGTGCCTGCTGTGCAAATCCTGGGGTGCAAACTCTCTCCTGCTTGTTCCCTTTCCAGGGGATGAGGATTCATCCGTGGTGGCTCATTGGTGTCTTGCTTTGGGTCCAACCCATGTCCTTGCTCAGAGCTGTGTGTGTCCAGCACTTTGTCTCAGCTCTTGGCTGGAATGGGAGCTGTGTCCTGTACCTGCTGTGCAAATCCTGGGGTGCAAACTCTCTCCTGCTTGTTCCCTTTCCAGGGGATATGGATTCATCTGTGGTAGCTCATGGGCATCTTGCTTTGGGTCCAACTCATGTCCTTGCTCAGAGCTGTGTGTGTCCAGCACTTTGTCTCAGCTCCTGGTTGCAGTGGGCTAGGACACCACCCTGTCCAAACCAGTGTCACAGAGCTGGTGGCACACAGGGAATGGTTCTGTTGTTGCCAAAGAAATAGGGAGAGCAGGAGAAGTGTGACAATACTCTGGTGACCGTGGCTCTGCTCAAGGCTCCTTGTCCTTCACTGAGGTCCAGCAGCAGCGTGGGCTCATCCCAAATCCTCTCTCCCTGCTGCTCCAGGGTAAATATAACCCAGCTGGCAGGTGGCAAGACACAGCATGACTCAGTGGGTGCTCGTGGGGCCGAGCCAGGCTCCGACACCGCCGGGAATAGCCGTGGTGACAGTGGCACTGCCACCAGCTCCATGCACTGGGACCTCCCCACGGCTCTGCCCTCCTGGGAGGCAGAAGGGGCCACTGAATCATGCCCCTCATTAGTGGCTCATTAAGAAAATGAAGCTGCAGGCATCCAGCTGCCACCAGCAAGATGTCCCATGGGGACAAGCAGCAGTGGGGACAGGCTGGGGTTTGTGGAGGGGCACACAGCACGATGAGGCTCAGGGTGCTGTGAGCCTGGCTGGGGAGGGATGTGGGGGTGTTGGGGTTGTGCTGGCTGGAGCGTGGCTGGAGGCTCACATCCCTGGCTGCCTGCCAGCCTCTCTTCCCGGGAGGCCCCAGGGCTGGCTCCTTCCTCCCTGGAACTCATTAAAGCACCTACAGCCAAAGCTGGTTCTCATTTGTCCCACTGCTGCCCTGGCTGGGGAGGGGGGAGCACGTGTGGATACCCGTGAGTGGTGGGGGAACATGTGTGGGTACCCCCTGTGTGGTTAGGGAACATGTGTGGGTATCCCTGTGTGATGGGGAGCACGTGTGGATACCCCTGAGTGGTGGGGGAACATGTGTGGGTATCCCTGAGTGGTTAGGGA